TTTTCTGTGCATGCCTGTATACCCACCTCCTCGATGTACTCGTTAACGTTTTACTATACTTGCTTTGTCTCACGTACCCATCTCTCCATCCATTGATCCACTGAAGTTTAAAAGTGCATCTCAGGGTCAACTGAGGACATTGTTACACTTCCCCCTAGGGACTTTAGCATTAAATTATTAACTAGAGTTAAATCTTATTTACAGTTTTTTTCTTTGATATAAAATTTGCATAAAAGAGTAATAAAATCTTAAGTATATGTGCATGTACCCATGTAACTACATTCTTATCAAGATGTAGAGCATTATTATCATCGCCTCCCAAAGTTCACTCATTTCCCTTTTCTCTGGAGCATTTCTCTTATTTATTTTAAAGCATCGACTTTTTTGGATATCTAGTATGAAGCTTGGAATTTATTTTATACTTTAGATATATGTAGGGAGATTTCATACATATACCAAATGGAAACTCCTAGTTGTTGGCTTGAATGGAAGGTTGATCAAATGGGATTCTTTGCTTTAAAGTTTCAGAGTTTGTACTTGTTTATATGTGAAGCTCAGAAATGTAAAGGAAATTCTATTAGTGGGAGTGAAAAAGTTAAATGGATTCTGACTTGTACCTGGGTTTCTTATTAATAAAACAAAATAGCTTTTTGCTTTTTACCTTTGAGGGTTCAGTGGAAAGTGATTCATTCAGTATTGGAGGAAAGAAGAGATAATGTTGTTGTCATGGCAACTGGTAAGTTGTACTTAAGCAAATAACCTAATCCTTTAAAAAATAAAACTTAAAGTGTTTCAAATGCTTAATCTTTCATTAAACTCTTAAAATACAAATGGTGTAAAATATAGAAGAGTGTAAACAGAGCCTAGATGCTCAAATTTATGCATGAATTAGCTTTTAGTAAGATAGCATATTAGTAATGCCAATTCCGCCATACAAATACATTGTAAGAAGAAAGTAAAGTATTAAGGGTTTATTTTTATTTCTACTTTTATTGCAAGGATATGGAAAGAGTTTGTGCTTCCAGTATCCACCTGTTTATGTTGGCAAGATTGGCATCGTCATCTCTCCTCTTATTTCTTTGATGGAAGACCAAGTGCTCCAGCTTAAGTAAGTCATGTTATCACTGCCCTCTTTTTTTCTTCTGTGAACGAAACATGAGATCTATCGTGTGTGTTAAAATCTAGTTCACAGTAACATTTCTGCGAGTGTTGCTTTATCTCTATTAGTAATAAATGATACTTTAGTGGGAGACCCTATCTTCTTTCTTGAGTTCTTGTAATTCAACTCTACCAGATGGACCTGATAAAATTTTTTTAAAAAGCATTATTGCTTTATGCTCGCTTACATTGAATATCTCAAAATTCTTTTCTCTTTCTGTTACCCTTGCTCTTTAGCTTGATATGAAGTGTATACATGGAAGTATATTTTTTATCTGTGAAAAACTTTCCAACTTCTTCAACTTGAACTTGCTATCTTTTTTTGTTGTTAATACATAATATTCATACATATTTATTGGGTACATGTGGCATTTTGATTCATGCATACAATGTGTAATAATCAAATCAGGGTATTGAGGATATCCAACACCT